GATAGGCTTTCCAAGCAGAGGGAAGACCTGCAGGAGTGCAAGGCCAGGGACAGGCGCCTGGAGGCTCAGTGGGTTGAGATGGTCAACCAGTTCCAGGCCATGATGCAGTCCCACTGGAACGAGGTCCTCCGGCTCTTCCCCACCAGCGGCTCTTCCCTCCAGCCTTTGCCCAAAGCCCCCCACCAGGAGGCTGAAGCAGACCCCAAGTTGGAATTTCTGCCCACTCTGACCTCCACAAAAAGACCCCGAAGGGGGAGACTCTCTGCAGCAACACAAGCGTTCATTGCACGTATCCGTCCCAGGGGCCGTAGTTTGAGGACCCCTGATTTAGTGCAATATAAAAATGCAAATAATGGTTCTGCGGACTACCAAAATATTCTCGTGGACTACCAGTTGGTGATCGTTGATTTAGTGACCGTTCAAAGTTACAACGGCCATAAAGAAAAGGGACTTAGGGCCAGTTTCACATGAGCTTTGTATCAACCCCATGGCCACGTGATCAAAATTCGGACACTTGGTGCCAAATGTTGGCAAAGTAATCAAATACCAGGCACATATTATCACATGTGGTGGACGTGTCGAAAAGCAAAATAATTATGGAGGAAAGTGCATTTGAGGTTAGGAAAAAAGGTTAAGGCAGCGTATAGATTACTGTATAAGCCAGAACTATTTTTATTAGGCATAGTACCAGAAAAATATGATAAATGGAATGTACCGTATTTTTCGGAGTATAAGACGGATCTTTTTCCCTCAAAAAAGAGGGTGAAAACCTGGGTGCGTCTTATACACTAAATACAGCATTTTTGGCCTCCCGAAACCCCGCCCCCTTTGCAAAAATGGCCATGCATATCCTTTAGGAGGTTTCCAGAGTGCTCCTGGGGGCTGGGGAGGGCAAAAATGAGTGGAAAATGGGCACATTTTTGCTCGTTTCTGCCCCTTCAGCCTCCCAGGAGCACTCTACAAACTTCCTAAAGGCTATGCATGCCCTTTCTTTGACAAAAAACAGTCCCGTTTTCCCCAAAAATGGGTCATTTTTTGGGAGGTCTGCAGAATGCAAAATCTTTTTTTAAAAAATTTGCCTCTTCAAAATCTTGGTGCGTCTTATAATCCGAAAAATAGAGTATATTTAATATTACATATTTTTGACAGCCGCAAGATATTGTATTTTCACAATAACTGAAAAAATGAGGAAACACCTACCAAAGAAGATATAATTAAAAAAACAATATTAAGACTGTGCAGAAATGGATAGACTAACACTGAGGACAAAAGGAAAAGAAGACACGGAATATTTTCGAACTTGGGACTTGTTCTTTCAGTGGTTGGATAATAGAGGTAAAAACTAGGAACTGAAAAAGCAATATTACCTATGTAAACAAATTGTCCCAGACAGGACGCTGTTCATCAAACACTTATTGTATGTAAAGAGAAAATATATAAAATATATAAAAAATTGGGGGGGGGGGATTCGGACTCTTGGCAATACTTATGATTGTTCCTGTGTCCTGGGGTCATGTGATCCTCTTTTGCAACCTATTGCCAAGGAAACTCAAAGGGGATGCCAGATTCACTTAACAATCAGGTTACCCACTTATCAACCGCAGGGATTCACTTAACAACTCCGGCAAGGAAGGTTGTAAGCAGGGGTGGGTTGCTGCCAGCATTGTTGCCGGTTCGCTGCACATGTGCTTTGCTGCTGATCCGCTGTGCGCACATCCACAGTTAACTGTAAATTGTTTTGCGCAAAATTACTAAAAAACATGCCAGCAATGGCAACGGCGACCGGGGAACTGGTTCGGGGGGCGCGGCCAGACCAATGGTTATCCAACATCTTAAAAACTTCCAGTGTTGGAACATTCATAACTTTAATCGATTGCCTTGTTTAAAGACAAAAACACAACTACTTTTGTTCCTACTTGGGAAACCATTTCTGGACTTTGTGCTCGAGGTGGGGGAAAAAAATGAAACTTTGATTTTGGGTTTTAGGCAGCTGAGTTGCTAATTTGTTCCTCTTAACCCCCACCCCCCAATCAAGGATTTAAGGCATCTAATTCCCCACCATCTCTCTATCCATTTTTTCTCTGCTTCTGAAGTCTAAAATACAGGTAGTCCTCGATTTATGGCCACAACTGAGCTCAAGGTTTTTGTTGTTAAACGAGACATTTTTAAAAGTAAGTCTGGTCTCATTTTACAGCCTTTCTTGCCACAGTTGCAGGAATCGCCGCAGTGGTTCAGTCAGTCACACGGTTGTTAAATGAATCGGGATTTCCCCTTGACTTGGCAAGTCAGAAGGCTGCAAAAGGGGGTCACGTGACTCCAGGACACTGCAACCTGTCATAAGTATGAGTCGGTTGCCAAGTGTCTGAATTTTGATCACGTGAACCCCCCCCCCGGATGCTGCAACGGTCGTAAGTGTGAAAAACAGTCATAAGTCACTTTTTTCAGTGCCGTTCTAAGTCTGAACAGTCATTAAACGAACTGTTGTAAGTTGAGGACTATCTTCCTTCCTGATCCTTTGGGCCTATCACTGTAAAAGATGGATAAATGGATCCCAAACTACAAGGGGAGAAATCTGGGTGAAGGGGGGGGGGAGTATCCTTGCCCCCAGCATCAGAGAGAGTCTGAAGTGATAGAAGAATGCCCGCCTAAAACCCAAAATCAAAGTTTCATTTTTTCCCCCCATCTCGAGCACAAAGTCCAGAAGTGGTTTCCCAAGTAGAAACAAAAGTAGTTGTGTTTTTGTCTTTAATTAAAGCAATCGATTAAAGTTATGAATGTTCCAACACTGGTAGTTTTTTA